AATGATGACCTTTACCAAAATGAAATGACATCTTGCTAAGCATTTTTCAGCTCTTCAATTATTTAGTAAATTTTCATAATCTAAAATTAGCAATTCTGTATTTAAAACAAAAGCAAAGCATTTGAAAAGTAATTACTACAAAAAGATACTACAAAAGGTAGAACTTCTTAATTGTTATATTAATTGAATAATATTTAAATATTCGAAATTTTTTTTAATTTCATTCAATAAATTAAATATCTTAAGATTTCAAAAATTTAACAGTAACTAAGATCTTTAAAATCTGAAAATTCATAAAAATTTAAATTGTTAACCATATAAATTGCATAGTTAAAGAGGAAAAAAAGTACATATTTTAAAAATTAAGATTTTTTAATATTTAAATTAATTTGAAAAGAATTCAAATTATAGACAAACATATAAATTCAATAAATAACTTAATGAAACAACAAGGTGAAAGCATTGGTATGACTGTGAAGAAGGAGATGACACAATGATTGTTGTACCGATGATGAGATTACAGATAGTAAGGGAATGAAAGAGAGTACAGAAAAGTAAGATAAAACAAAAAGTAGAAATTATGATAGGTAATTAATATAATTGCTGAAAAATGTTGTGCAAAAACAAAAGAAAAAAGATGGAATGACCGCCGAAAAATACCACTGAGAGTAATTTCCTGGAATAGAGAAAGAGTGAGAGATGGGAAAAAAGAACCGATTAGACAGAGAGGCGCGCCGATGTGAAAGTACGATAACAACTCGAACAGTTCAATTCAAATAGTTTATTACTCTCACTGATGGATGGATGGACTGGCATGAAATTAAAAATGAACTTCTTGAAAAACAATACATTAAAAAAAATTTTTTTTAATTTTGTTATTCAATAAACAAACGAAATTGCGATCTTTAAGAATAAGAAAATTGATAATAATTAAATAATAATGATAATAATAATAATGACAATGATAATAAAAGTAAGTATTTATAGATAACTTGATTTATAATTAAAATAGTAATGGCGACAATAACAATTCCAATCTTTAATTTTGCTTTCTTTATCAACAAAAAAAGAGAAGAATATTGCAGATCTCTTGTTATTTTTTATCATCATCATCAACAAAATAACAACAACAACAATGATAACGATAACAATAATAATAATAACAAAAAAACTGAAAATATATTTTATTAAAATTATTTTATTATCTGATTCATTTAAATTTATTCGAAATAATACAAAATTAACCGTTCAAGTTGCATGAAAAAAGTGTACTTTCTAATATTTTTTATTGATTGCAAAATTTTGATAAGCGAATATTTTTTATCTTAGCATAGCATAATTTAAATTTAATTGGCAATAATTAGATGAAATAAATGATGGAAATGAGATTTGTTCTATAATTATATCGAAGGAATAACAATTTGTTGTTAAGAAATGAAAAATGAATTTAATAAAAATTAATTCAATTAGCATTTAATCCAATCCATTTGCATCTGAACAGATGAGATAATCAATTTTTATTATAAGAAATTATTTTCAATTATCTAATTTGTCTTATTTCATTAAATTACCTGAATTTGGATAATTTTTACATGATGAATTTTTGATTTCGCTCAAAATAATATATTTTCGAAATATACATCCAACTTAAAAATAATGAATCAATTTTTAACTACCGCACCAATTTCTAAGCGAGAATTCAATCATAATTGATCGATTTATTTTCAAAGCATCAATTTATGTCGATCATATTTTTGACTTATTCGTTATCGTAACATAACATTTACCAAGATTTACTTCATTGATGTTAAATTCTTTCTTATTTACTTCTTTTGAGAGTTCATCCGCTGGAACAAAGATAACTTAAACTTAACTCCCTTCATGATTTTTGAATCTTTGTCAATTAGTTCAAATTTATTGAAAGAAGTTGAATATTAGTGCCAGTCATGAGGTGAAAAACACTGTTGAGGAGAATCACTCCGTTCATTATCCGCTTTTGATCATTACTAATTTCATTTGAGCGTTATAAAAAGTGGGCCAATTGAAGTGAGGGAAGGCGGATTTATCACTGCGATGAAATATTTCTGAAGCATTTCATTAATATTAAAAGAAGATTGGAATTGAGCCAAATGGAATTTACCAATAAAAAGAGAAAAATTTCTCAAACGATCGCTCATTTGTTTTGCTCAACTTTTTCCCTCCCTCTCTATTTTTTGCTAAGCGAAAACTTGATAAATTGGTTTCTGGGATAGAAAAATTCGTCCTAGAAGTGGTAGACTGAAGTAGAACAATGATTATAGCATGGAAAATCACTTCTACTCTTTGCTTTTCAACTCTTTCTCAAACCTCTTAACATTCTAGAACTTTCGATAAAATTTCAGTTTCGAAATTTAAAAATTTTTTTTGATACAATTTGATTGAAACAAAACAAATCAAATATCATAAATATTGCAAGCGAGAAGTGGAAATAAAACATTTAGGATATGATTTGGTTCTGATGTAAGGAAGTTTTTATTTGTTTCATTCATTTCGAATATCAGCAAATTTGAAAAATAAATATTCGGCGTAATAAATCTGGCAATTTCTACAAATTAAAAGAATCTTCTCTTCCTATCATTCATTCACAATGTTGAAAATTTGAACGAATTACGGAACAATGGCAAATTATTTTCAATAAAAATTTTTACTGTGTGAATAAAACAATTACCTTTTACATCTTAGTGACGCTAATATCCGATCATTGTCATTCTTATTGCTGTTGTTTATTGTTTGTTGATATTGTTATTGCTGTTGTTGTTGTTTTTGTTGTTGTTGTTGTTATTATAGCAATCTCTAAAAAGCGTTAAATGGTTTTACATTGTCAATTTTTAATTCCTATTTGATTTTTGTACAACGAATAGTTTTTCTAACTCTCTTCTGCAAATGCTAATAAGTACAAATTGCACTTCAACAAAATATCGCCAATTTAAAACGAGTCTTTTTTCCATTCTTTACTCAACTCATTTATATTGTAAAATTTAAGGAAAAAAGGTACTTACCAAAGGTAAAATAAGAAAAGAAATTATTCGCAATAAATTTAATGGTTATCCATTATCTTTGATTTCAACATTTTAACGATAATTTAATATTACCTTCAAGAAGTGTAATTATATCTTTTATTGTCCATTCTCTCTATCCTAATTTCCTTCTATTTCAGTGCTCAAAAAGAACACTTAAAGATTTAACCAATATGGTTGAATTGCAACAAACAGTTTGAACTGTTTTGATTTTTCTTTCTCATTATTTGGCCAGCATAAAACGTTACTCTTTAATGGTTTTTTGGGGACAGCAGAATTTCCCTTGTTATACACCCTTTGAGATATTTTAAATTAACAATGATTAATTAAAAATAGCGTTCTCATTCCAACGAAAATTAAGAGGCAATCTCTTAGAATACTATCAAGTATGAATTTCCATTTCTGCGATTTATTAAAATTCTCATTGCTTAATAAAAACTTTGATTGTCATTTATCATTTTTGTCACATCCCCACAGGTTCATATTCTTTTCTCTTCTTCCATATTCCTTTTTTTGTATTTCTGTAAAATTTTGTTATCGAATGAGAAATTGTATTTGATGCTGTTATTCAGAAATATGGCGATAATATAACAATTGCTACATTTATTCCCAAAATTCTTCTATCAAATCGATTTAACTGAAAACCTAAAAATGGCTTAGAATCATTCAACCATTTCGATTGGATTACAATAGAATTTCGTATGGTTGGTTCTGTGAGTATCTAATTATTTGGATCAAATTCCACAATTCTCGGGAACGGTTTCGAAATTTTTCGTCTCTAAAAACCGTCAAATTTCCGTTTCTATAAACATATTTGTATGACTTATTTTATATCATAGAAATATATTCGTTAAAATTGTAAATTTGACAACAGTAAGTAATAACTAAAACTTTAACACTTAAGGGATAATTTAGATAAGGAAAAATTGCCATTTCACCGTTTTGTGGACGTTTTTTCTAGTTGTTGCAAATATGAAAACAATTTCACATACTTCAAGAAGATTTAACATTTTGAAGATCACATGGGTTTTATTTGAATGCTGAAAGATATTAATGAAATAGAATCATATGGTCAAACATAATATGCCAAGCTCATTTGTCTTAGGCCACCTTTCTCCATTACACTAAATCTTCAAATCTAAAGTATATTTTAAAAAAATCAACCATATTTTTAAGTTCAACATATTTTCTTATCAATAGAATTCCTTCAAATGTAATTTTTATAAATAATTTACATAATACGGTATTCAAAAATCAAACATGATGATGATGGTTTTATCTTAAAGCAGTATGAGTTAATACAGTCGTAAATGGAAATGGAAATACCTTGTTAAAATAATTCCGGGAAGCAAATATATCTAACATTCTGAACTCTTAAAAAAATCTTTATCCGTAACAGAAACTACATCAACGGTGAGCAAAAACAAAAGATAACCAAAAATAAGAAAAGCTTCTTTTTATTTTCTCTCACAATTTTCTAACTTCTGCTTGATTAAAATGTTCTAATTCATATTTTAGTTCTTTTCAATCTAAAATAAAATTTCCTATCAGTCTTCTAATCGCACTATTCATCATAAAATCTTGCCTATGATGAAAATAAATTATATGTATGAAAATTTATGATTATATCAGAAAGTTGTGACTCAAATATTCAATGAAGGAAATATAGCATAGAAGTGAAATGATGAAGTATTCATCAAATTTTCACTTCTAATCATTCCCGCATCAAAACGTTGATAACAAGAAAAAACCTATTTTAAATGATCAAATGTAAACAGATTACCATATATACTTTCTTTTTCCACTGAAGATATGCATGAATCAAACAAAATAGTTAAGATGGAATTTGCGATATTTGCGAAGAGAATTTAAATATTTTGAAAAGGTTTGGAATGAATGAAGAATGAAATTGGATACGGTGGAATTGAAAAGCATTATTCACTTTCATATACTTTTTCTTATTAAAGATTTCTTACTAAACATAGAGTTATTATCAGTAGTGGAAATATGCATATATATGGATGTTCCGCTGAGTACCGAGGTAGCTCTTTCCGGTGAATGCTGTAATGAAGGACGTACCGCTGATGATTCATCATCATTAGTGCCCACTTCTGTCATTCTTTCAGTAATTTGTAATTCATTTAGCAATGTAACATCACTTTGAATTACCTGTTCTTCCTCTCCTATAACAATTTCTTCTTCCATTTGTGGCCTGAAATGTCAATATCTATTGTATAAATAATGTGCAAAACAATATATAAACAGTACAAACTTTATAAACAAAAATATAGTGTGGAAATATTCCTTCGAGAATATTCGATAAAGTAAGTTTACCTAAATGGAGGTAACTTAGTAGCATCTTCATAGGTTGGTAATGTTGGCAGATTATCTGCTTGATATCTCCCTGAAAATCTTCCAGTATTAACAAAATATAACAGTTATATTTTATGAAAATTAGTAATTCTTTTCAAATTTATGATTGGTAGTGTTTGTAATGATTGATTGACCTCTCTGAGAATTTATAACATAAGGGGGAGGTCCTTCATTGGGAAATGTAATGGTTCTGAATGATAGAACTCTCGGATCTTCTGGTACTATTATATTGTTAAGATGTGAATTAATTTCAATGCCTGATCGGACTAATGCTTCACGTCGAACAGCAGCAAACCGATTTTGTACCTAAAATAGATGAAGATTAAAGAAAAGTTTACGAAATGAATAAAGACATAAAAGAAATGTTATTCATTAAAAAAGAGAAACTTAAAGTAAAGTTATCAGAAAAATTTGTTATTGTGTAAACTTGAAAATAATATAATTCCAAAGTGATTCAATAGACACTCAATCCCACTGAGTGCTTATCAAATTACGTCTTTTTAAATTTTCAAATATTAGTAATAAACCAAAATTACAGTTTTACTTTTTTTCAAATTATAAAATCACAATTACAATTATTTTAATAAAAATTTTTTTTGCAAAAATTCTTCGCTGTAATAAGCAAACATATAAAAGTGTGTTTTATAAAATATTACAAAATAAAGTACATAAATAGCTAAAAAGACAATTTAAATTATGAACAATTAGCAAACCTGCATTCGATGTTTCATTAACAAATACATTGAAAGGATGAGAACAGCGATCATAACAAGGCTGAATATTGTACTCGATATATCTCGAGTGAGGAGATCATTGTTTTGATAAACACCCTACAAAACATTTTTAATTATGAATATATAAAATGAACTTAATCTAATTTAATCCAAATAATATGCAATTCAAATATTTCCCTCAGACGGTTGATAAGTTTTGTGTAATTTTTCGTCTTTAAAATATGATTTTTAAGTTTTGTTTGAGTAAAATTAATTAGTTCTTATTCAAACTTACAAATTTAAGAATGAATTTGAATGATAGATGATAGCTATTGCTTATCTAATTATTAAGCACTTACTAATCTATCATTTACATCATTGTTTCTGAGCTAGTTAATATCATTTATTCAGTCTGATAAGATGTTGAATAGAAATTAAATAATTTGATGAATGGAAAGATACGTTTATTTCAAGATTATATAAAGCAATGTCCAATATCTTATGCATAATTTATTATTCGCATTCATTAAAAACTACCTCAATTGATAGTAACACTTAATAGCATTATCAAATCAAATAAATAAATTAATATACAATTAATAAATGGAATTAGTTCTATAATTATTTCCTGTTAATAGAAACGTCTTATTTCTACTTACAAATTTTTGCATGCAACACTCTAAATTGACTTCTTCATCAATTCATTTCTGATTATTATTAAATCATATAGCTAATAATAATAGGTTATAAATTATAATAATACGCTGTAAATTGACTTCTCCATTTCGATTAATTCATTTCTTATTATTATTAAATCATATGGCATTATGTTTTGATCCTTACTTACGAAATACATCCCTCTTTACTCATTACACTTTCACGTTTTTCAAAATTTTCAATAAAAGCCCTCAGGCACATAAATATTTGTTAAACAGATAAAATCAGCTTTTTGTTTTGTCAATTATTTCCAAATAAGAGAGAGATTGATGCTATGAATTATTCATCATTTATGGAGAGAGGAAATAACCTGCTTAGAGAGCAGGTGTTTCGTATTGGAGAGACTGAGATAAATGTGATAAATGAAAAACAAGATAGCGAACCTGTTCTCGGTAGCCATGAAATCGCAACATAACCGATGTATGATTGGCATCAATTTCACAATGATAACCGAGTAAATTTGGTGGACATAAGCATTGACGTCGTATCTTAGTGCCACCATTCAAACATACTATATTTTGACATTCCTCACCTTGATAAAATGGTGTACATGCGCAATAATCACGACCATCTGCTCCTATAAAGTAAAATTACATACATTTTCGAATTTATTCGATTTTTGAAATATCTTAACTCAAGCAACATGACACAGTTTTGCAACAGCTCATACGCTATCTCTATTAATTCAATTTTTAAAACAAACAAAGGTGAAGTTATAATTAGTAAGCCTACAAGCAAATAGACAGACAGTTGTGAAAGGAATCAGAATTACAAGTTAATGTTATAAATTGATGATTATTTTAGTACTGCAATAAAATGACTAATAACACATTAAACAAGTAATTTATCTTAGTGAAATATTTACTCTGTGTAATGTCTCTTTTTTTGCTTCAAAATTTTCTGCCACCAATAAATTATTAAAATAAACTTCTTTTGAATCACTTTGAAATGACTTTCAATGTAAGAAAATGTCTCATAAATAATGTTTGGAAGGATTTTCCGCAGATGAAAATATCTTAAAACAGATAAAAGACGTTATTTTGTACGTGTAAAACGTAATAATGGATAGAAATTATGTTATTATTAAAATCAATCGAAGTTATATCAGCGAACCTGTCATTCGTTGGCCCTGATCACAATATTTCTCACATTGCTCACCAAAATATGGCTCAGGACAGATGCAATGTGAATTTGAATCGAACGGGCGATGATGGCCATTATTAAGGCATGGTTTAAGACGCCTACAGTTTCGATCTAAGTATTCATTTCCTGGCATTTCTAAAAATTTTAAATTTCACATATTTGACCGTAATAAAATTCTTCTTAAATACAAAACAAATCTCATTCATATTTCATCTTATTGAATAAAATGGAAAAGTTTATAAATTTTTCATTGCTTATATGAAAGCCAAAAAATGATGGAAAAAAGAAAATGATGCATACATGTGCCTACCTGGACATTTACAGACTATACCGATACCGGTAAAAGCATCAAAAGTGAACATTGAGGGAGCAGACAGAAGATAACTGCCGCGATATATGCGACATTTGGAAATCAACTTCTCATTTATTGCACCTGCCTTTAGAGATCCAACACTGCTAGAAATGCTATGTTCATTATAACTTTCGTCAATTATGTAATCCGATTCTTCATGAGTCCAATTTCGAATAATCTAAAATATCATTGCAAAAAACATAATGTTATATTATTTCAGTTCAATTGAAATAAACAAATGAAGTCAACGTTAATTTGCATAAATTTAATCTTAATAACTATTATTCATTTTTATTTTATTTTTAAGCGAATAGCTTGCTAATATTTGAAGTTTGAAGAATTTGATAAGATTGAAAATTTATTGCCAATCAGTGCCTAATTTTATTTCTTCCTTAATTTTATTTCATTCAGAATTTTTTGTTGCACTTTTTCAGATTTTCCGATTGATTTTTATGTCGAAAATTCTGAATAAAAAGTTAATTGCGATAAGAATAAATTCGTTGCCAAATTGCCATAGCAATAAAAGCTAATTAATAATAATAATGAGATGGCAAAATGCACATACAAATATTCTATTCGAAAATTATGCTGCAAACATAGAAGATAAATTACCTCAGGGTTCTGCGGTACCGGATATCCATTCAGGCAGCAGATGATTCGGAATGTGCGCGGTAACCATAATGAATTGTAATCAACTTTAGTTGATTCTGTTATGGAATTATTGTCTGCAAAATGACAAAGTTTTACTTAAAAATGAAAGTATGTAGTGATTCAATATGAATGTTTTTGCTGCTATTAAAATTTCATTTTTTAAATTGTGTTTTCTAAAATCTCATGCAATTTAACTTGCACATACTTCGCAGATGGTTAGACGGTTATACAATGTCAAAATAGAGCTAAAAATACTTTTTAAAAGTTTCAAACGGTGTCACTTGCTAATTAATTAATGATCATTCTCTAAAAACAGTAGAAAATTTTTACATCCGAGAAGTTATTTATGGGATAGATAGCTTTTTATTATATTTTATTAAACTATCCACTCCCCTCAAGTATAAATATATCTAAATCATAAATCCGGTTGGCGATATTTCCACTTTTTAAAATCAAAAAATCCGTTCATTATTAACTGAAATTCTTTGTCAGCAAACAAAACTCCTAGAGAAAAGACATTTTTTTTTGCAAAATTTAAATGATATTGTTGAGAAACAAACCGGGATTTTCAGCATTAACAACAATGATGATAGTTGAAAAAATCTGTAGTATTATCATTGCTATAATTTAAACAATTAAGCATCAAAGAATATAAGTAAGCACCAAAACGCTCGAACATTGGTCATTGGTCCATTTGGAACTGAAATGAAAAAATAATGCAAAGTTTGTAAAATAAGCTTTGGAATAACTTGCAAAATGTTAAATATTATAAAGTAACATGATTATTGAATGAAAATTTTTGCTTATAATTAAAGTTAAGAGAATGAAAATTTTCATAGAAATAAAAAATATCAACAATAATGAATTTGGGAAATTTCAGGTTATTATTATTGCTTTGAAATATAACAAAATTTAAATTTGTATTTCTTTTTTCTGTTATTAAAAGCTATTAACTTCATATTTTTACTATTAAAATTCTTAATATTTCATTTCATTTATTTCGACAATTTCATCAATAGACTTTTTAGGATTATAATTTATTCAAAACTGAAAAGTCATAGTGGTAGAATTTAAAGAGCAAATGTAAATATTTGACAATGAGCTTTGTTAATGGAAGAAAAAAGGATAATTCTAACAATCGATTATTCATCATTTTTTAGTTAAACTTAAGATATGAGCAGTATACCATTTCCTACGGATATTTCATAAGAAACATTTAATTTCGATAGCGAAAGATTTTGAAAGAATTGTGAATGAAATCAGTGAAGAGAAGGACAGGATGAGAATGCCTGCAATCAAATTTCAAATAAATAAAATTGAATTCATAAATTGAATTTAAGTCAAAATCAGCTTAATGATGCTTCTATACTTAACAGCTAACAATCCCAATTAGATGGTAAAGCCTTTATAATTTCAGTTATATTAATGATACAATCAATAATTCTAATTAGCAATAAACAGTGAATATTACGCTCAAATTTTTAAATAATAAAAATATTTTACTAATTCAAATTTGAAGAAACGAAAAATATTACCTTTCAGGGATGAATATTAAATTAGTATTAAAGGTTTTCGTTATTTAACCAATTAATCATATTGCAATGATTTTTCGAAATTTTGTCAACAAAGAATTTATACCTTTTTAATAAAGCCATGGGGCAAAAGGGGCATCATCACAAATGTTTATTTATCCTAAATTCTATTCCTGGCTAGGAAACATCGAATATGTTTTCCGAAGTGAGAATTGAGTAGGCTTAAAAAATACTCCCACAAAGATCATTAAATGAGGTCAAATGTCAACATCTTCTCATAGAAAATATTAATAGAGGTCAAAAAAAATATCAAATGTCACAATAAAGCAATCTCTCCAAGCGCATACCAAATAATTTCCATTTCAAACAGAAATTAAGTGATCAACTTCGAACATTCATTTCGTCGTGCATAAAATTTCACAAGATTATATGTTAATTGATGAAGAAGATAACGAAATGACATTTAAGGCCTAATGATAGACAAAGATACGTGCCTCATTTGTAGATGAGGCATATATCAGTCATATTTGAAAGAATTTCAAAAACTCGATGACATATTATAGAAAATTAATGTAGCTTAAACGCTGAAATAAATGGCGCTTTAAATTAATGAGCTAATCTAAAGTAAACTTAAAAATTATCAATATTTCTATAAAAATCTTTCCCTTAGTCTTATGTTATCGATAGATGATAATTTCATTTAAAAGAGTGATAAAATTTGTGGACAACGAATAAAATTATTTGCCGAATATTTTAATACAACGGAAAAAAAAAATTATATTTTGAAAATTAATGCGAAATTAATATCTTATTAACAGGCTAATTAATGATTAGAATATTTGATAATATCACAGTTAACGAATGACTTAATCGGCTGGAAAATAGGAAGAAAAGTTTGCTTTTAGTTTAATCCTTGAAGAAATTTTTTTTAATAATAAAGTTTTAAAAATATTTGATATTCTGATACATTTCTACATTCAACACTGTGAATGAATCGGTTTTCTTCAAATGAAAGAAAAAAGATCTGAATGATACATTCTTTGTTAGCTGAAGAAACTAACAAAAATGCTGTCAACAATAAATTCACAAAATATTTACAGAATTGAAAAAAAAGTAAAAAGAATTCGAAAGACTTATGAAAATAAAGAAAATTAAACAACGAAAAAATTTTTAAAAATTAATGAAGCAAATAATTAATGAAATTAATTAAATCAATCCAAAATGATTACTGATATGATATTTTTTTCAAAGTTATTCTTAAAGCATATTCATGAAAGTAATTAATAACAAATAACTTAATTAATTGCTATTAAAAAAGTATTGAAATTGGAATATATGCAAGAAATGAAATAATTTGAAAAAAGTTCCAACAAAAATTTCACTATCAATGATATTAATTTGAAATGAGAAGAAATGGAAGAGAATATTTCAAATAATTTGAAACAAGCGGCAAAATATAATTCGTTGAAGAGAGTGATGTCATCACGATGGAAATTGAAATTATAAATATGTAGCGAAGAAAAACAACGGCAATGTCTGAAACACGCTTGATGTGCAAATATCATGCAATTTGGTGGGAGAATTTTTTGAAGCTGAAGAGAGAAATCAAGTTTTACACTTGCGCGATGAATTGAATTCGGTTGATTGATTTTCATTACATTTTACCATCTCATCAATTAGCAATGAATGTTATTGGTGTGACATATGATAATGTAAATAAATAATCAAATGGATCATGTTATTACTATTATATCATCTAAAATAATAAAACAATTAAAAAGTTAAGTGCTAGAAAAGACTGGAAATAATGGTTAATTACTTTAAGCCTTAAATAATAACATAGCTTTAATTGCTTTATTATTATTACTTTTTAAATGATATGATAATTCATTGTGAACTTTTTAATTTATTTTAATCTTAAAATTTAGAATTAAAGGAATCATTTTTTTCTTGAATAGTTCATTGTGAAATACGAAAATTAATTGGCAAAATTCGAAATGATCATTACCAATAATGAAGAAAGAGTTGTTTTCACAAATGCTTGCACAATATTTCAAACAGAGCGATAAGGAAGATGATGATATCAGTAAACAGATAGTAGACGTATCGATTTCATTCATTTTTAATTCAGGCCAATTTATATCAAAGAAATCATATCAGTTTAAAATATTCGTTAATATGAAAAATTTTCAAATTCTAGAACGATAACAAGTTATTATTACTGTTAGCTTATAACTTATTTTTATACTATTGTCTATGATATATTAAAATGATAAAATTGGGAAGTTGGAGTTATGCGAGCTATGATAATTTTATCTTTATCACTCCATTTATATTATTTAAGAAGATCTATGAATAAATAAACTAGAAAATGATATTTCGTAAATTGAAAAGAAAATTTTTTTGAACAAAGTTCAAAATAAAAACATCAAAATGACATTTAAACTTTTGAAATTAACTCAAAAAACAACATTTGCTAAATTAATTTATTATTTCTAGTTACTGGCATGAAATATACCGTAAAAGAAATACTGCGACAGAATAAATTCCTTCTAAATTTAATAGCTTTTTACTTCTTACCTAAAAATTGTAAAATTAGAATGTCCTTTTTTTGATGCAAGAAGAGAGAAATTGAATATCACATTTAAAAGACAGAGTTTTACTTATACTAATGTAATAACAAAACAACGATTCAACAATACTTTTCAACCTGTGTCTCACATTGGAAATTATTATCCTAAGTTTCTTTTTTTCTTCCAAAATAGAAATCATTAAAAAATTTTATTTTGGAATTATTCTATAATTGAAACTATTTATAACTGATAGAGAGGAGAAAGAAGTGAAGAAAGAGAGAAAAAGAGAGAGAGAGAGAAAGAGAGGGAGATAGTGTTTACGATAAATATACAAATATTTGCTTATTTATTTATATTCAAGTCATTTAGAAAGGGAATATGTATATATATATTAAATATAATTTAACGAATCAAAGAATAAAATATTTTGCGCTTTATTATCACTTAACTACAAAAACATATCATTATTACCAACGTTAGCAAAATATCAATTATTTCTATTTCTAACAGAAATGAATTGAAATGAACAATTTTTTCTAATGGTTATTTGAAGTAAATTTATTTGAGAATTAGCCAAGTACTCTTAGTGAATCTTTTTATGATCGAATGATAAAATCGTTGTAAAAATGACCCCTAATCATATATTTAACTATCCTTTATCGATAACAATCAAATAAAATTTTTGTTTACAAACAGGAAAGAGAAGGCAATCTGAAAAACAAAAGAAAATTGATTTTAAATAATAAAAAAATAAACTTCCAAATGTAAAAGAAATTCAACGAGAAAATATATATTATAATCATACAAAATAAATTAAAATAATTCTTTAGAAAGAATTTGTTTTAGAAAAAAACGAATAGATTAGAAGCTTAGTTAAAAATTAAAATGGAAAACAAAAAGATTGAATTTTAATAACAAAAAAGAAGTCTTTCCATTATTTAAAAACCAGTTAATTAGGCTTGTTTTAATGATTGCATTTGTGATAATTTTCCATTTGAAATGAATGAATTAAATTACATTTGAACGATGCATAAAACAAAAAAATCTTTGATTCTTTCGAATTTGAAAGGGATATTAATTAACTTTACTACAATGACAGGTGCAATTGTTTCTGATTATTTATTAATTATGCAAAATTTTGTTATTCTTTTTATATGAAATAAAATATTAGAGATAAAATAATACAAATTATTTTAAATTGGAGAAATAATAATATGTTAAAATGGATTGGAATCAAAATGATTCATTTTCCTATTCCTTATTCTATGAATGATCCAGACATAAGATGATAACGATAATGGTGATTTCATTATCACTATAATTCTACTTATTTAACTTGATCTAAATTATATTCTAACACTTACCAAAGAGATATTAAGGATGATCATTCGATTGCTAAAGGAATAACACTGATTTCATTCTACCACTCGAAATTCAATTTTATAAATTTATAATTTGTATGTTAAGAAAATATTTCATTCTTTTAATATATTTAATGTCGACAACCGCTTAT